GGTTTTATAAAACCTCTTCTTGGTGCCAGTGGGTCGGGGCTGGTTTTGATTTTGTTTTTCTTGGGGGGGAGGAAAATGGGGCATGTTGACATTGCATTTGAGAAATGAGCTCAGAAAGGAATCTCAGGAGGTTCGGGAGTGTTTGCTGAGCATCTTGTGTGTCCTGTTTTGTATTCTTCGAGTTGGGAGGTTTGGAAGCATGGCCTTGCAGTTCCACTTTGCCTTCTGAGCTCTGCGCCCAGCGCTGGCAGCATCCCTGAGCAGGAGCAGAGCCCACAGCGCGGCAGTGGGAGCAATACAGGGAATGCCACTGTGCCACCTAGATGCCACTAAGTGAGAGCAGCTGTCAGCCTGTTCCATTGCCTCTGTAACCTCAAGGCTGCCTGCTCTCATCCAGCTCCTGGCCTCTCTGTTCCCAGGGGATGAGGTTTAAACACTGCAGACACTTCCGACTCATTCAGGGCTCTGGGTCTGGGCTGGGGCTGCACAATTGCAGTGGCAGAGTGCAGTCAGCATGGCTCCAGGTGCTCCTGCTCCGTGCAGATCAGTGCTTTCAGCTGGGGGGTGCCAGTGAGCGGCTGTTGGCTTCAGGTGGGAATGTGGAACTGATGCAGGGAGCAAAGCAAGGAGAGCTGAAGGCAGCCTGACGTCTCCAGTGAATCATCAGCACCGCGTTCTCCATGAATCCCAGATGGATTTGGACATTTAATTCCCATCACCCACTGGCTTTTTCTCGCTGCAGAGTTTTGTTCCTCACCCCTGTGCTTTGTGTTTCTAAGTTTATGACACATTAAGCGAAAATGGTTTGCAAAAACACTTTCTGACTGCAAGGGCATTTTGGCAATCTCGCGTTTCTCTTTCTTACTGACTCGGACTCGTTCTTCTTACAACTAAAATTCTGGTTGGGTTTTCCTCGAGGGTCAGCTCTTAGTTGGAGCCTACCAATGACACAGATGTTCTCCTTCCATCCTGCCCAGAGCTGGCTAGCAAGCTTAGCATCAATCTATGCGATTTTGATCTTTCCATTTCCAGGGAGAGCACAGATCTCCGTGCACCCCATGCAACCCAGTGCTGCTTTTGGGGTGAGCTGTGTGCTGGGTGTTGGCTCTACCCAGCAGTGCCACGCACGGCAGCTCAGCGCAGGGCTGCCTGCACCCCTGTGTGTGCTGGAGAAGAAAGGTAAAATCACAAAAAGCAAAACAAAACAAAAACCCCACTCGACAAAAAGCTGGATGAGAGCTGGACGAGCGTCAGGCTGTAACTCAGTGCCAAACAATAAACACACCATACTGCACACAGCTCTGCTTGCTGCCTGGTCTCTTGTTTTCGTGTGCATCTGTGGGGATGGGGGGGAGGGAGCACGGGGAAGAGCCCTCCCTGCTGCCCCTTGCTGTGTCTGGGATTTGGGGGAGCAAATGCTGAACTGGGTGAGAGCCCTTCAGGTTCCATGCAGAGGGGACTGTGCTGTAGGACTGGGGTGAGCTGTAAGGCCTGGTCTCACACGAACATTTCCAGCCCTGATTTGTGGAGCAGGAATGATGGCAGTGCTCATAAGCTGCTCGCAGCTGCGCTGCAAAGCCCGCAGGTGGAAATGACCTTCTGCTTCTGCTGCAGGGGTGCAGAGCACCAGCAGTGCCCTGTATTCATCCTCGCTGATGTTAATCGCTGACTGTTTCTGCCCAGGACTCTGCCTGGTGTGGCATCACGCTGCTGGTCCATCCGCAGCCCCAGCTGACGTACAGCACAATGATGGAGCTCCTTTGGGAAGCCAAAGGTGACTCTGGGTGATGTTAATTTTCTGATCTCAAACTCATTGCTCACTGCAGACAGGAGTTGCAGAGACGCTGTGAGCACAGTATGGGAGGGGTGAGGGTGGCTGCAGCAGGGAGGAGGGGCTGCTGTGCATTCTGCTGCACCTTTGGGAGCAGAGCAGCCTGTTGGCTCTGCTGCTGCTCTCTGCTGCAGGTCTGCTCACTCTGCTGGTTCCCCTGGTCGCAAAGGATCTGTTTCCCCAAAGTTGGTGGTGATGCTCTCATTCCCGATGTTTCTGGGGGGGCGTTAAGGGTGATTTCCTTGGGGCTGAGCAGCCCCTGTGCTCCCCCAGCCCTCCTGCTTGCTCACTGTCTCCAAGGAACTTTCCTAGAAACTGCAGATCTTATTTTTAGGTGTCAGGCTGGGGGGCGTGGGGGGGAAGCAATGAGCAGGAGGCTCCCATGGCTGCTGATGGGGGAGCGGGGCTGAGGCTGGTTTGTGATTTGGGATGTAAGGGGGCGGAGGATGTATGGGGTATGGTGAGTCCCATGGGGTGAGCTGTGCAGCAGCGTTTTGGGGGTGATGGTTTCCCTTCTCCTGAGCATCCTGTCCAGGTCCATTCCCTCTGTCCCCATTGGAGGGGACCTCTGGGGGCCAAGGGGAGGCAGCAGAGACGTTAGGACCAGCGAAGGCAACACGGCCACCAGCATTGCAAAGGACACTGGATGACTGGGAATGGGGACAATGGGACACTGGGGGAGCCTCGCAGCGTGGGGACAAACCAGCTCTGCCCCTTCCCACTAAAACAAAGGGTTTTGGCATCCCAGAGCAGGGAGTGTCCCTAGGGAGGGCTGGAACCAACCCCCGCCCCAAGCTCCATGCTGTCCCTGTCCCCTCTTGGCTTATTTTTTTTCCTTCCTTTCCCCCTTCTTCCTTTTTTGAATTCTCTTCTATTTCACCCATCTCTCTCATTGCCCCCCCCGGTCTCTGCTGCCCCCTAGCGGCCGTGAAGCTGCACTGCATCGCGTTCAGAGCCACGCCCCCTCCACGAAAAAGCCACGCCTACACGTAAGCCCCGCCCCCCAACACAAAAAAAGCCCCGCCCCGCTGTCACGCGCTGCGCGGGTTCCGGGTGCGGGCGGTGCGCGCAGGTGGGGCGGGGCGGGAGCGCGCGGGGGGGCGCGGGAGAGGGGGGGGGGGGGGGGGGGGGAGGCGCGGGGCGAGCAACGCGTGGGAAGCGCTGGGGGTGCCGAGCACGGAGGGGCGCAGAGCTCGGAGGGCCGCATGGGGCGGGGGGGGGGCGGCACCGTGTGGGGGATCTGCAGAGCCGTGTCGTAACGGGGAGGGCTGCGATGCGGGGTGGCGGTGCGTGGCCGGATTTCTTTGGGGGGGAGCGGCACAGCAGCCCCTGGGTGCTCACCCCCCCCCTCCCCCATCCCCGGCCCGTTCTTACCGTAGGGAGGGCGGACGGGGTGACGGCAACCCACCGGTGTCTCTTCCTGGTGCGTCCTCGTGGCTGAGCGCTGCGCAGCCCCCCCGCCCCCACCCCCACCCCCGGCGCACCCCACGCCGTCGTTACCGGGGCCGCTTCGTTCCCTCGTGCCGCCCGTCCCCATGTCGGGAGCAGCCGCCACCGCACCGCCGCAGCCATGAGCAACGCGACGGCTCCCAGCGCTCCCGGCGCTGCGGGCGATTCGTTGGTGGGCTCCGTGCTCGGCCCCTTCGTGCTGCTCACACTGCTGGGCGCCGTCCTGGCTGCGGTGAGTGCGGGCAGACCCCAACCCCAGCCCCGGCTCCGTCCCTGTCCCTCATCTCCCCAACCTCATCCCTTTCTCCATCCCCAGTCTCATCTTCAACCCCATTCCTGGCTCCATCCCCAAGTTTAAGTCCGTCCCCGTCCCCAACTTCATCTCCATCCCCAATTCCAACCCTGTCCCCACCCCCATCTGTAACCCCAGCCCTGTCCCAGTTCTCAACCCTCTCCTACTCTTCAGCCCCAATCCTGTTCCCATCCCCAGGCCCAGCCCTGTCCCAGTTCTCAACCCTAACCTGTCCTCAATCTCATCTCCAATCTCAGCACCATCCCTGTCTCCATCCTCGATCCCAACTCTTCCCATCCTCAGTGCCATCCCCAACCCCATCATCCCCACCCTTAACGCTCTCCCATCCTCAGTGCCAATCCTGTTCCCATCCCTAATCTCATCTCCAATCTCACCACTGTCCCTGTCCCCATTCTCAACACTCTCCCGCTCCTCAACCACAATTCTGTCCCCATCCACAACCCCAGCCCCAACCTTACCCCAATCTTATCTCCATTCTCAACCCCAATCCCATCCCCAACCCCAACTCTGCCCCCATCCTCAACTCCCATCCCCAATTCCAACCCATTCCCCAACCCCCTCCCATCCCCATCCCCACATCCCCCTCACACCCATCCTGCTCTCCACACAGGTGATGTACGTCCAGAAGAAGCGAAGGTGAGTGACTGGGGGACCCCCATCCCATAAACCTCCGGTTCTGCACCCCATCCCCGCTCAGCCCCATCCCCACCCCAGGTCGGAGCGCCTGCGGCACCGCCTGCTGCCCATGTACAGCTATGACCCTGCTGAGGAGCTGCAGGAGTCGGAGCACGAGCTGCTGGTGGAGGCGGAGGAGCACCAGGTGAGTTTTAGGGCTGTGAGCTTTGTTTTGGGGTGGGAGGCTGCGTTTTGGGGCCATGCCCTGCATTTTGGGGTTGGGGGCTGTATTCTGGGGCCACCGGCTGCACTGTGGTGGCTCAAGGCTCTCCATCCCTCCCTGCAGATGGGTCCCACCTGGGGCTCCCGTGGGGGCTGGAGGGCTTGAGGCTGCCCTGGAGCAGGACTGGAACCCACAGCTCCCCCCAGCAGTGGCAGCACAGCACCGGGAGCAGCGCCAGCATCCCCATGAGCACGGATGGTAACGGGGCACCTGCCACCTTCCTGCACATTTTTCTGCTGCTTTTTCTTGAAACCACCCTAAAAAAAAATGCACTGAGGATGGGGTGGGGAAATGCACTGGGGCTGTGAGACAGGTGCAGCCCCACGGAGCACCCATGGGCTCCTATTGGCCCTATATGGTGCTTGCGGGGTCAGGACACCCCAAGTTCCTTTGGGGGGGCAAATAAACGTTTCTCTGTAACAGCAACAGCAGTGGTGATGGGCAGACCCCACACGGGGCTCAACCCCAGACCCCATAGGAGGCTCCATCCCAGAGCAGAGCATCAAATGTTTTATTCCATAAAACGTTTTATTCAAGTAACTGCAAATAGGAAACCAGACGGTTGTTAACAGTGGAACAAAAAAATAAACAGTAATAAATCCCCCCTTATTTCCCCACACTGGCAGCACCCTGAACCCGACACCGAACCCCCCCTGGCCCCACTGCAGCCGTGGGGGTGGCACAGGGGGACCCCCAGTGTCCCCATGCCCCCACCCAGGAGCAGCAGTGACCGAACCTTGAAAGTTAACAGTAGAAAACAAAAATATATGAACAAACTGAACTGGGGAGAATCCCCCAAACCCCGCTGCAACCCCCAGCAATGCAACCCCCCCAAAAAAAGAGAAAGATGATGATGACCCCAAGCAAAGGATGCCCGGCTGCCCCACACCGGCACAGCAGTGCTCCGTGAGCCAAGAGTGGAACTTAAATATCCAGAGGTAGTTGTGAATGAGAGGACAACCAAAAAAGGATTAAAAAAAAAAACAAAAAAAAAAACAACCAAAATGAAACACAATAATATATATATATATAAAAATAATAAAATAAAAATTAACCAGAACCGATGGGGAAAGGGGTCACCCCGAACCGGGCACTGCAGGGATGCAGCGAGGGGGAGTGGGGCTGCCCCACTGTGCTGGGGGGAGCAGGGTGGGGGTCCCCCCCCCCATAGGGCTGTGGGGCTGAGCCCTGCGTTCCAGTGCTGCTGTTGTTGGGGGGTGAGGAAGGAGCAGGGCAGGAGGAGGAGGAGGAGGAGGAGGAAGCCGGGTGCTGCCGGGGGGGGGCTGCGCCCCGTCCATCTCCCTCAGTCCTGGGGGGTGATGATGAGGTAGCGGCGGTTCAGGAGGGGTCACTGCTCCTCCTCAGATGACTCCTGGGAAATGTTCACCTCCTCCTCGTCCTGCTGCTGCAAAGCAAAGGAGAAACGTGGCGGGGGAGGAGAAACCGAGGGGGGAAACTGAGGCACAAATCACCGCGCAGGGTTCTGCCCCTCCATGCATGAAGCCCCGCGGAGCTGCTGCTGCTTCGACCCCGCGGTGTGCAGCACAGCACAGCCCTGTGCCCGGTGCCCACAGCTGCGCCATGGGGGGGTCGGAGGGGGGCACACGGCGCTGACTCAGCGCTGAGTGTGAGCCATGACTCAGCGCTTCCCACGCTTCCTCCCGCTCCATTCATAAAAACGTTCTGCCAGCGCCGCATCCCCATCGCGATGGGGTCACTGCCACCACGGGGGGGGGGGGGGGGGGGGGACGGACGACACGATGACAAAAAGCCCCACGGCTGGGAGGGCAGGGGAAAAGGGAAAGGGGCACTCACCGGTTTTTTGGGTCGGCCTCGAGGTTTCATCCCTGGTGCGACTGAGGATTTCTGAGCGTTCCAGGGGGGGGAAAAACAAAAACTGAGGTCAGGATGGTGCACCCCACCACCCCCCCCTTCCCCCACCACCTCTGGACCTCCCTCCCATCCCTCTGCTGCCAAATCCCATCACCCCAATGGCCACGGCCCGGGCCCGTGACTCACACAGCAGCGCAGGATGTGAGCTGCATGTTTTGAAGGCAGGTTGCAGGGTGCGTGCATGCAGACACCCCGCAGCCCAGCCCTTCCTCCCCACCCCCTCTTCGAGATGCAGCTGCCATGGCTGGGGGGGAAGGGGAGGGGGGAGGTTGTAGGAATGGGGGATCAGCCCAGAAATGCCACTAATTGAGCTCTAATTGCACCCAGCCACCTACCCTGCCTTTGGAGCTGGCCTTGTTCTTGCTGCCCTTCGGCCGGCCGCGGGGTCTCTTGGGGGTGGGCGCTTCGCTGGGATCCTGGGAGGGAGGGAGGGGGTAAAAAGAGTTGAGGGGGGGCACTGCAGATGGGGTCGGCGCCCCCGGGATGCAGCAGCACTGCGAGCACTGCAATGGGCTCAGCGCTGCTTTGGGGCAGAGCACTGCCGTCCTTCAGTGACCCCCCCTCCCCTCAGTGTTAATCTCCCAGCTTAACTCCAGCTCCTTTCTCAATCCTCTGTTCAACCCCCCCCCATTTGCCATTGGGAAACCCCAAACCTGGCCAGCAAAGAGCTGGGAATTGGCAAACATTGCCTTCGTGGGGGGAGGGGGGAGGGGAGGGGCTGTGCACAAAGCGTTGTGGGAGGGCTGTGACAACCACAAAGCCCCCCCCCCCCTCCACCCCCCACCCGCCAGCATCTGATCCCTCTGAGCAGCTTGTGCTAATAGGGCTTTAATTAGCCAGGCTGCAGAGGCAGCTCTAGGGGAGGAGCTGCGGGAGAACCCAGAGCCTTACATGGGGCTGGGGGGGGGCTCTGGGGTGCAGGGATTTGGGGTGCGGGGCAGTTTGGGGGTGCTGCATCACCACGCTCTAGGTTGGGGCTGCACCCTGAGCACCCCCTTCCCCCCCAACTCCATCCCCGTGTGCCAACGTGCCCCCCTACCTCCCCCCCTTTCCCCCCCTTCCCCATACCTCCGGTTTCTTCCTGGGCCGCCCCCGTCCCCTCTTCTCTGCAGCATCTTTCTCCCCTTTGGAGGCCAGCGGCGGGCTGGGCTTGGCGCCGGCGTCGCTCATCCTTCCCTGCGGCTGCGGTGAGGAGGAGCGGGGAGAAAAAAAAAGGGGAGGAAGGTCGGTCAGCTCTCGGCCCCACGGCGGGAGGGAGAGGAGGAGAGAGGGAAGGAGGGAGGGGGGAGGGCGGTGGGGGCCGCGGAAGTGACTCAACAGGGCCGAGGGGGACGAGCGGAGCATCCCTGGGGTCAGCGCGGCCCTGGTGGGGAGGGGAAGGGGAACCCCTGCTGTGGGGTGGGAGGGAGGTGATGGAGAGGCATGGGGAAGGGGTGGAAGGGAGGTGATGGTGAGGGATGGGGGGAAGGGGTGGGGGGGGAAGTGATGGTGAGGAATGGGGGGGGGAAGGGGGGGGGAAGGTGACAGCTAGGGATGAGGTGCTGCATTTTGGAGCTGCACTGTGCCCCCGTAGCGTTATGTGCAGCTCCAAGCCCTGCTGAGGGCTCTGCCAGATCCCTGCATGTGCTGGCACGATGGGAATTGGGAGAAGCTCCCCCTTACCCCCCTCCAATGTTGCTTTGTAACCCCCCAGCCCACCGGTGCAGCTGCACGGTGCCACCGTCCCCAACACAGCATCTGATGCCCCTTCATCCCACCCGGCACCTCCCCACTGCACACAGAACCCATAGGGCACTGGGGGGGTGGGGGCACAGCAGCCCCTCGGCCCCCATCAGCCCTCATGCAGGGGATGAAGCCACAAAGCTGCGGGGATGGAGCACGGAGGGCTCCTGGTGTTGCTGTCCTGGGGGTCCCACAGCCTTTTGGGGAGCCCGACCCACAGCTGAGCATCGGTTCCTCTTCCACCCGCGTGGGCTGAGCAGCTCCAGATTTCATCTGGAGTCCTTCAGATCCCACACACAGCATCAGAGATGGCAAACTGGAAAAGCAGGAGGAGCTGCACGGCCCTGGGGGAGGCTGTGGGGGTCCTGGGCTGCGTCCTGCTTCAGTGCAGGAAGGGAAGGGCCGTGCATCCTTGCTGCTCCCAGCTGGGATGGGTGCTGCATCCCATAACCCAGCCCTGCTCCTGGGATTGGGGACACCAGGAATCATCCCAGGCCGTCACATTGCTACGTGCCTTTCCTCGCTCATGGGGAAATCCCACAGAGAAGCGAGTTTCTCCACCTCCTCCATCCCAATAACATTCCTAGGGGTGGAGGAAAAACCTGTAGGGAAAACCTGCTCATCCGGAGCCACCGCACAGCACAGCACAGCACAGCACAGCCAGCTCCCAGCCCCACGACCACACGGAGACAGGCACAGGAAACATTCCCAATGGAGGAGCTGAAGCTTCCTGGCAGGAGTGACACCAAACTTCTCCTACAGCAGCATCCCCACCTCCTGGGGTCCCAAATGCACCCCCAGCACAGCACAGGGGGTTGTTACCTGGAGCACGGGGGGGTCCTTCTCCCACACACTCCCTTCCATAAGGGCTAGGCACACTTGAGCTAAAAGCACGTGGTTTCCATGGGCCAGCACTGCTGCTTCTGTCCCAGGGAGGGGGGATGCTGGGCCCTACGGGGTCAGGGAGGGATGCTGGGCCCTATGGGGGGACACCACGGGGCACAACACACGGTGCTCTCACATGGAGCATTCTCAAACCCACGCATCAGCTCTGGAAGTGACTCACGAGTGCAAAACATTCCCCCCTCCCCCCTTCCCCCCACGCCTCGGTTTGCTGGAGGCAGAAACCACGCGGTCACATCAACGCCCTGAAAACACAACTCAGCAGCATCCCAGGGCCCCGCATTCAGAGAAAACAAACCATCATCCCCATGCTTTAGGTTAAGGAAAGGGAAACATCGGCGGGTGAGCAGCGTTTCTCTCCTGGTTTAAAACAGGATCAGAGCAAACGTCTCCTGCTGGCTGTGCTGTACCCCCCACCCCATGCAGCTGGGGGGGGTTGCAGCCACGCACAGTCCTGCAGCAAAGTGCCAACAGCCCCCCATCCCACCCCCAGCCACGCACTGCCTGCTCCACAGCATCGCCCCATTGCTGCGAGGGTCCCAAAGCTCTGCTCTGCTCTTTGCAGATGGGGATACGGAGGTGCAGCGTGGGGCTGGGGTTGTGTGACGGGGCTGCAGGGCCGGGGCTGCACGTGGGCGATGCTTCCCAGCACCCACAGGACGGCAGTGGGTGTCTGCAGCTCAGCCCCCCCACGGCGTGCATCGCAGCCAGAGGGGAGGGAGCAGCAGGGTTGCCATGGAAGGGAGGAAGCAGCTGAGAAAGAAACCTTTCTGCAGAAGGAGGGGGACGTGGGGGGGGGGTGGGGGGATGCAGCGGCGCTGGGGAGCGGCGGGGATGCATCGCGCGGATCGATGGGGCTGAGGGAGGCATGGAGAACCCCCCCCATCCCTATAGGAGCGCTCTGCTCTCCTCTCCAGCCCCATCGCTGTGCTGCAAGCGGGCGGCAATGCCTGCAAGGCCTTCCTCACGCCCCCCCTCCCCCCAGCTTGCGCCCCCCCTACGCGAGCAGCCCCATTCATCCATCCATCCCCGCTCAACCAAACCCGGGGGGGGGGGGGGGGCGGTGCCGTACATCCATCCCATCATCGCACGCCCAGGAAACGGAGCCCGACGGCAGCAGGGGGGAGGGGGGGAGGGCGAACCGAACCGCACCAGCCGGGTGGGGGGGGGAGAATAGTGGAGAAGTTGCAGAGCGCGTTCGGCGGGGAAGGGAGGCTCATGAGGACCCCCCCCCTTCCTTACACACACACCCCGGGGTTGCTTTGAAGCCCCCCCACCCACCCCCAGCCATTAAGGGCAGCCCACCCCCATTCCTTCCTGGGCATGCATCATAAAAGGAAGTGATAAAAGAAAGGAAGGAGGGAGGGAAGGAGGGAGGGGGGTGGGGGGGGAAGAGAAAGAAAGCAGGCAGGAAGGGCAGCATCGGGGCTTTGTGCAGCGGGGGATAATAAAGCCCCATTTCTCAGCAGCACCCCGCGGGGAAGGGCTGGGGGTTGGGGGGGGCAGAAGCCGAACCGAGGCCCTACATCTTGGCACCGAGCTGCACAGCTGTACCCCATACACACACATACACACACATACGGACACACGGACACACGGACACACACCCGAGCCCCGTGGGGGGGGGAGGGGGAGGGGGAGCAGCCGCACCGATCCGGCGCTGCACGCAGCGCCACGCGGACCCCCCCACCGCGCCCCGTGCGATGCGAAGCCTTACAAACGGATCGCCCCCTTCCCCCAACCCACCCCCAGCCCCCCCCATCAGCCCCCTTCCAGTCGCATCGCCCTGCGGCTCCCGGTAAGAACAGCAGCAGCAATACGCACCACCCACCGCCTCACGGTGCTCACATCCACCGTTTGGTCTCCGTACACGTTCAGCAGCCGTCGATGAATGTCGACGGGTTCAATTTTTTCCGCATGCAGGAATTCAATCACACACCACTGCTTCATACGCACTTCGATGTCGGACGCCATTTTGTCGGAGTGCCCCTCTGCTGCCATCTGTCGCGCGGTGACAACGCGGAACGGGGCATTGGCGGGAAGGTTCAACCTCCACCGCCATCCCATCAACATCCGCCTCTGACGTCGGGTTTGGGGGAAGGGGGGGGGGGGGGGGGGAGAGGGGGGGAGGGAAGGTTGGTTGGGGTTGGTTTTGTTTCTTTTGGGGGGGGGGGGGGGGTCGGCGCGTGAAAAATAGGAGGCATTACTTTCGGAGCAACCCCCCCCTCCAGCGCGCCCCACGTGTAGCGCAGGATGGCGTAAAGAGGGGGCAGGCAGCCCACGACCCCCACATCCATCCCCATTGCCCCCGCCCCCTTACATCCTTCCCCCCCCCCCCACCCCCCCCCACGAGCAGCACTCACCGTCAGCGCGATCCCGGAGATGGGCGCTCGGACTGTTGTTATGATTATTAATTATGATTATTAATAATTATGATTAGAGTCAATTTTCCTGGTTGGGAGCCCCCCCCCCCCCCCTCCCCCTCCCCCACATACACACACGCGTGGGCAAACTGGGAAGGGGAAGGCAGAGAGGTTCTTAAGTTTTGGAGGTCCGCTCTTATTGAGGTAATAAAGGGGGGGGGGAACCAAAGTGCTCCAAGGGGAAGGAAAAGGGGTCAGAAGCATTAAGGAAATAAAGTAAGAAAGGGGAGAAATGGGGGGAGGGAAAAAAAAGTGGGGAGAGGGAAAAAAAAAATGGGGGGAGGGAAAAAAAAAGTGGGGGGGAGGGGGAAGAGGAAGGAAGGTGCGCTCTCAGTCTTACTGGAGGGGGTCCAGCTGTTAAAAATAGCCCAAACGCGCTGGAAATTAAATAAGGGCACCGGGGTGAACGGAGAGCCGGGGGGGAGGAGCTGTGGGGCGGGGAGCGATAGGGCCGGTTGTGGTTGTGGGGCCGGAGCTGCGTGTGGGGCGGAGCTGCTGGAGGACCCCCCCCAATAGGGTCGGTATGAGGTGGATGGAGGAGCCCCGCGGCTCCTTGGGGGGGGGGGGTGTCCCCATTTGGGGCTGCTCTGATCCCTTTGGGGATTTGGGAACGTGAAGAAGTGAGAAATGAGGTTTTTCTCTCCATCCCATCTCAGAGCATGGGAAAGATCCCCCACCCCCCCATAAAAACCCCAACACCCCCAATGAGCCCAACCAAGAAGGGGAAGGGCCTTTGTTTGCCCTCCGGGCTTTGTTCCCCACTGCCCAGCCCCACGTGGAGCCGCCTAGAGTGAGTTTTCATCCATTTAAACCTCTTTTTCCCCTCCCACCCTCCCAGGGCAGCTTTTATCCCCCAGCTTCGCACAGTGATGTCCTGCAGCCCCGTTCCAGGGACAAATTCCTAAAGTTACAGTTTGGTGCTGACTGCTGATGGGGAACTTCCCAAATTGGCGCGTGGTGCAGATGGGTGTCCATGTGGGGAGGGGGGGGATTCAATGCCCCCTTATCCCACATCGCCCCCATCCCGGTGCTGAGCTGTGTTTGGGATTTGGGTGCCCGATTCCCACTCGTTTCCCTGGGAAAGGGGAAACCGGATCTTCCAGGGTTGCTCAGGAAAACAAATCCCAACCCACGCTGTTGGGTAACTGGAAAGCGACAGAACCAGTTCACCCAGGGTGTGTTCATCACCCTGCCAGCCCTCTCAATTAATCCTCCTGGTCCCGGGTCTTGCCAGACTTGTGACCCCGTTGCACGGAGATGTGTGGGTCCAAGGGCAGCTGGTGCTGTGAAGAACCCGCTGCCATCACCCCCGAGCTGATGTGCCAGCATTTATGGCCGCCTGCAGGCAGTAATCGGCTCCTGGGAGGGGAAGGGAGCGTTGGGGTGAAGGCACGGCCGTGCTGGGGGATGTGCAGCGGTGTTGGCTGTGTGTGCCATGCCTGGGCTGCCACCACGTCCCTGTGTGCCATCAGTGGATGGCACCCATGGGGACACATCCCCACCAGGCGCCCATAGGGATGCATCCCCACCTGGTGCTGCTGTTTGGCTGCGGTAACCTCAGGTCTGGCTGGGTGCCGCTCTGGATCCCAGTGGGTGTCTGTCCTGCTGTCCCATCCCCTGGGATGCCGAGGACACATTCTGATTGAGGAGGGCAGCAGGGGGGCTGCTTTGGCTCTGTGACACCCGCAGGACCCCATGGTCCCATCCTGGGTGTGTTTGGCACCCTGATAGCCGCTCTGCATCCCTGGGTGCTCCGGGGGGGGGGTGGGGTTCACTCCTTTGGGCCCCTGCCAGGGGCTGTGGGCCATGCTGGGGCCGCTCCACGGCTCGGTGCAGCCTCACAGAGCACAATGGCCTTTTGTCCAGGAACATCCCGCCATCCCAGCTTCCCAGTAACATGAAACCTCCTCGGGGCTGCAGAGCACAAAGCCCCGGGCCGCTGTCCCAGTCCCTTCCCGTCTCCCCCCCCCCCCTTCGCACTTTGGCACACGTGCACTGAGCGTGCCAGGGCTCAGCTGCGTGGCAAACAGCGGCCACGTGAGCCACCATCCCACCTCACACGGCCCCTGCCATGAAGGGGAGGCACAAACCAGCAGCCCTGTGCCGCCCTATGCCCATGGGGGCATCCTCACAAGGATACTTCCAGTGCCTGACCCTGTGGTTCCAGGCCTCCTGCAGACCAGGAGCTCCTCAGCACTGCTCCCCAGCAGCACCGGGTGCAGAAAATACCTCTGTCCCCCCCTATTCTACACATACACACACACACACAGGGCCCCCTGCAGCCCCAGGGCTGGGGACCAACAGTGATTTGTAAGAAAGGTTGAGAGGAAATGCTGTAAATCGTTAACTGGGAGCACAGAGGAGGAGAACGTGAAGGGTTGTTATTGGAGGACTCACTGCCTGGCCCTGCCTGCCTGCCTTATCTTTTTTTTTTAATTGAGGTGTTTGATTGCACATCCAAAGCTAACAGGGACACAGGAGCCTGGGGTTGGGGGCAACACGGGAGGTGCTGCATGGGGTGGGGGCACATGGGGTCCCTTGAAGTGCCCCCTAGGACACCCATCTTTGTGGGCACTGCCAGGGGGTTGGGGATGGGAGACCCAGCATAGGGCAGAAGTGTGTGTGGAGCAGCCCATGGTCATAGGATGGCCTGGGTTGGAAGGGACCTCAAGGATCACGAAGCTCCAACCCCCTTCCACATGCAGAGCCACCAACCTCCCCATTTCATAGCAGCCCAGGCTACCCAGGGCCCCATCCAACCTGGCCTTGAACACCTCCAGGGATGGACGGGGCATCACAGCCTCTCTGGGCAGCTGTTCCAGCACCTCACTGCTCTCATAGCAAAGAACTTCCCCCTGGCATCCAACCTCAATCTTCTCTCCCTCAACTTCAAACCATTTCCCCTTGTCCTGCTGTTATCTCCCCTTTCCAAGAGTTGATTCCCCTCCTGTTTGTAGGCTCCCTTTAGGTACTGCAGGCTGCACTGAGGTCACCCCGCAGCTTCTTTTCTCCATGCTGAACAAGCCCAGCTCCCTCAGCCTGTCTTTTTGGGGAGGTGCTGCAGCCCCCTGATCACCTCTGTGGCTCCTCTGGACCCTCTCCAACAGCTCCCTGTCTTTCTTGTACTGGGGGCTCCAGACCTGGACGCAGCACTGCAGATGGGGCCTCACAAGAGCAGAGCAGAGGGGGACGATCACCTCCCTGTCCCTGCTGGCCACCCCTCTGCTGATGGAGCCCAGGATCCCATTTGCTTTCCAAGCTGTAATCACGCACTGCTGGCTCATGTTCAGTTTTTCATCCATCAGGACCCCCAGGTCCTTCTCTGCAGGGCTGCTCTCAAGGAGCTCCTTCCAGTCTGTACAAATGCCTGGGATTCCTATGGTCACTTCTGTGTCCCCAGGAGGGGCCACCTGCAGCGCTGTCCCCCCCACATGAATGGGTTGCTGTGACAAAGGGACACTCTGTGCATCCCACTCCTTGTCAAGGCTCCAAGCAAACACCCTCCCTGGCCAAACAGTTCCATGCTTTTCCTTTTACTCTCAGCTCCGGTTAAAAAAAGGACCGGGGGGATTTTCTTCCCTTTCTGCTGTGACTCAGGTGCTGCTCACATCTGAGTCATGGGGGGAGCGCAGAGGTGGGGGTGCAGGAGGAGAAGGAGGTGGTGGGGCTGGGGGCAGAGCCAAGCTGACGGGGCAGAAGGTCGGTGGTCAGAGCTGTTCCACTCTCCGATGCCGCACCTCGTGTCCCGGCCGGATTTAATTAACGGGTTTGGAGGGAGGTGGGTGATAGTGCGTTCGGGACCGGAGTCGGCGGTTCCCTGCTGCCATCTAACGGGGACAGCCGTGCCGGCAGCCGCTCTGGGGGCTGCGGGAGGGGCTTCCCCGGGACCCCGTTAAGCCGGGGGGTGGGGGAAGCTGTAGGGAAGGGTGCTTGCTGCTCTGAGTATTGAGACGCCCGACGGCCGTATCTTTTCCCCAGCTTTGTGTTGTGGGCTGATGGCACCGTGGGGCCGTGGGAGCAGTGGGTCAGCCCAACTGGGAGCTGTGCAGGTGCTGCCTTTGAAAGCAGGGTGGGCAGGAGGTGGCTGTGCCCTATAGGGCTCTACAGCTGTCCCTTCCAAACAGCCCATCCGTGGGGGGAGTCCCAGTGTTCCTGGGTTGAGGGGGAAGTGGGGTGATACTGCATGGGGTGGGACCCCCTACTGTGGGGCTCCCCTCGGCTTTGTGCTCTGTGCTGTTGGCCCCAGGCAGAGGGAGACAGCTGTGGTGCAATGCATGGGGCCGAGCCATACAGGTTGTTTGATCACCATCTACACCCCCAGAGGAGTATGGGGGCAGCGTCTGACCCCAGCGGGTGACACCCAGGCACGCGGTGGGACCCAGGCCCGTGGTGTGGCTCAGCCATGCCGTGGGGATGTGACACTGTGCCCAGCCAGGGGATTAGGGACGGCTGTCAGCGGTATCGCTGCCCATTCCCAGCTCCGGTTACGTGGGGTTGGGATGTGGCGCCTGGCGGTGCTGGAGCTGGAGGGGGGGGGAGTCAGCTTTCAAAGAGCACAGAAATGTGAGCAGGGGAGGTGGGGGATGTGAGGGGAAGGAGTGCGCGGTGAGAGATCTGAGAGGCTGGAAGCTGCGGTGGGGCTGAG